AGAAAAAAGAGAAAACTAATTTCTTATATGTAGCCACATTAAACAGAATCCCGTGAGCATCTATGCAGCTTTTCTAGTACAAGCATTTAAGCAAGTTTTCTAGTATAAGCATTAATGCACGTGACAAATATTTAATTTTTATTTGAAAAAAAAAATGGCAAACATTTTACTGGTGTATATTGAGTTTAGAAAACTGCTATAAAACCTGCTAAAAAATAGTCACCATTTTTTTTATTAATCGAACCTTTAGATTCATACCAACATTTTTCAAGCATTATAGAACATGGAGGCATTGGAACGAACATGTTTTGTTGAGAAAAAATGTGCACTAGTGAACTGCATATGTTAATGTTTTGTTTACGCTAATGGTCCACATGACTGGTTTTAAAAAATATGAAGTGCCAACAACTCGAGCAGAGTGCGATAACTTATAAATTTTGGTGCATTTTGATTGGTCAAAATTCGACTCAATAAATCTACTTAAAAATGACCTTTTACTGAAAGGCGGAAGAGTAATTGTTACGTAAATCCACAAGCGCTCCTGAAGTACGTATTTAATGAAGTACGTATAAAAATAATTCTGGGTAATATATTAGATGCAAAACTATGTTTCCGGTAGCAAATTTAAACTGTACACACAAATTTGTGCCACCAATGCGGAAAGTTCTCATGATTTGCACTTCACTTTGATTTAAAGAAAAGTTAAGTATATAACTTTTTAACGGAACAACAATGTGATTGTCTAAACTACTGCGTGCTTAAAATACAGTGGTGACTTTTTTTGACAAACTAGCTCAGCAGTTCGAGTTTAAGCTGCATGCCAACAAGTTCATGAAACTGAATACATGAAGTTAGCCCAACTGAATACGTGCAATCAATTAAAAATTTCATTGGATTGTTTTGTGATATATCTAGTTTGGTTGCCACACTGCATTTGTCCTCAATTACTAGGTCGAACGCTGTTTTACCGGCTGTTTTGTACCGGCTGTTTTACTCCGGTACAAAACTAAGGGCACGAATAGTGTTCAACGCTAAGACTAGCTCCCTGTATGATTCAGTCTTCTTAAGGCCCAATTCATAGCATATAGCTCTGACAGAGGTGAAAGTAACATCCCTTAAGGTCAGTTTGGTAATAAGACGCAAAACCAATCAAGGTCGCAATTTCAAAGTCCATTAAAAGTCTTTCCGGGGTTACGTAACCCACATGTAATTTAAGCGCGGTTATGAATCTGTTATATGTTAATAAACGTTAATTGATGAGCAGGGCGTAGACGCAAGGGGGATAAATCCCGCCAATTTAGATGTGTACAGTGTAGAGCTGGTTAAAGTGACTGGGGGATAATTTGAAAGTACCGTCTACAAAGCAGGTTCAATTGTTCAGTTTGCGTGCGTTGAGTTTCTCAATATTGCCAAAAATCAATGTGTTCCGAATCTTGTTTTCCGCAACTGAAAAGACAAAAAAGCATAAAACTATCCGGTATTTCAAAATGACGGTCATCTTGTCGAGCTTCTGAGCGTCTGCGTTGAGTCCGAGACTATGCTCGCTGCTGTTTGAGAGTATATCGGCCCCCACGTGTCATTTAAGTTTTCGGACACCTATGATCTCCAATTGCTGCAGCGCTAGTGGGTTGCCGTCTTTGTATCGCGCTTCTTTTCAAAGCCAGTACCGTCATATATAATAAGTGTTGGCCTTTTTGTGAGTTTGGGCAAGTACAAGATTTCATTTTTTAATTTTCAATGAGTTGCAAAATCAGACAAGACTGCTCGTATCAGGGCGAGGCTTTGCATGTTCCGACTGCCTCTTAAGGTCTATGGAGCAGTAATAACATGGTAAAATTAAATTAAAACAAAATGAAAAGAAAAAGATTTCCTAAAATTTGGAATTTTTTATGAAAATTATCCCCCCACACGCCATATAAAGTACAGAAGGATAGATCTCGTTCCTTGTAACAAATCAATTCTGGCAAAAAAAAAGCTATTTTCAACCAATTTGAAACGATTTCTAACACGGATTAACTCTCCGCTGACGCGTTAATAGCGCGAAATATAACGCGCGTTAATTGTCCCAAATTGGCCAAAATGCCTGTCTTTAAACCCCCGTTATTTTACGAAAAATATTCACAGGTGAAATATCTTTTCAAATTTGAGTTCAGGATAACAATACCTTTCGAATGATACAAAAAATTTCCGTCAAAAATGGCTAGTTGAAAAGTCGAAGTTTGTCTGAAGAAAAACCACCCCGAGCACAAATATTCCGTTACTTTCGTATCGAAAGTCGGAACAATAATAAATGCTAAGTGTATGCATTTTAATGGAGCTTTTCTTATTCAATACCAAATTAACACTAAGTTAAACACATGTTGGCAGTATGCTTATCCAAAATATTCGTCCAATTTGAGTTTAATTCTTAGGTTTGCGTTGTTCAGTAATAGCGTGAACCTACTTGAGGCATCATCATTCAAGATTTACTTCTGATTACTTTTTGATTATGTCTTTTTTTCATAATTCATGGGATCTTTTTAATTGGCATGGGATCTTATGGTATGGGCAATTTTCTTGGTACGGTATCAATTGTAATGGGAGCTTTTGGATTGGTATCTTTTGTCATGACACCTTTACTATATATTTACCTATTTCTATTAATCAATACTTTATATCTATCTATAAAATACCTTTATCTAAATAGCGATATCTTTATCAATAGATCCAGATCTATGTAGCTATATCTAAGTTTTAAAATCTTTATCTATCTATAAAATATATCTAGCGAAAAACCAGAACATCACAAGAGGACTTTTAAAAATACTACTTCCTAGACATAAGATAAGAAAACGCCCAATTAAGTTCCGCGTATTTTAGCTACTTAATTTGTAACAGGCAAGCTATTTGGTATTATTAGAGGTTCAAAATATGAATGACTGTCAGTTTTTACAGTGCTGATTTAAATTAACCGGACAAAACGCATTAAACTTGAAATTTAAAACGCGTTTTTCTCAAATTGGGTTGAGTTTAAGTGAAAACTTATGAAGACAAAACTCGCTTAAATTTTTAGCAGAATCAATATGGTGTAATTTGTTTTGCGAAATTCGGGCCCAAAGTTTAACCCCAAAAATGGATCTTTTTGGCTTTTCTTAGTTAATCAAAAATTACGCCAAAAATACCCAGTCGATCTCAGACATAATTATACCAAAGTGAGCCCCTTACGTAGCCTAACAAACTTTAAGGAGGGTATATTCTCCAAAAAAATTTGCAAAATGTTTAAAAATTGTTTTTGAAATAAAAAGTTGCTGTTTTATATAGTAAAAACGACCTTTTTTGTCTATCAAACGAAAATAAATGAACTTATACACTGTTTTGGAGAATATACCCTCCTTAAAGTTTGTTAGGCTACGTAAGGGGCTCACTTTGGTATAATTATGTCTGAGATCGACTGGGTGTTTTTGACGTAATTTTTGATTAACTAAGAAAAACCAAAAAGACCCATTTTTGGGGTAAAATTTTGGGCCCGAATTTCGCAAAACAAATTACACCATATTGATTCTGCTAAAATTTTAAGCGAGTTTTGTCTTCATAAGTTTTCACCTAAATTCAACCCAATTTGAGAAAAACGCGTTTTAAATTTCAAGTTAAGCTCGTTTTGTCCGGTTAATTTAAATCAGCACTGTATAATCTCATCAATTGCAGTAACCTTTCAACTTGGAAAAAAAACAAGTTTATTTTTTAACTTTGTTGTCAACTGATTGCCGCCTGAGCTGATTAGTATCAGATAGCTTTCGCGCTTTTCCTCATTCTTCGCTGTCCAAGTTTCGGGCTGCAGTTTGCGTCTTACTTGAACTCGCACCCTAGTTACTGCTGCATGGGCTGTTAGACTTCAGCTACCCAAAAAGTCTACACCCTCTTTTGTGGGCGATGTGGCAAGAAAGCTATAGGAGAATGGCACAATTAAAAGGGGCAGTAATTAACAGTACTGTATACACTCGAAATAAAAACAGTAACGAGGGCATACGAAAAAAGACTTGGGACCAAAAACAAGTTTTTCAGAGGAAATTATGAGCAAGCATCGTTTTTTTGATATAATCAAATATAAGCTCGATCAATAAGAGTTTACAGCCAATGCACCGTACGCTAGTCAATGAGATTAAAACACTTGCATAATTTATTGTTTCTGAATGTTTTTCCCTAGATTTCTACAACTCGATCCTTTTTTGATATTACTTTTGATTTTGATTTTGTTGACGTCGATTATAGGGCAGCCAAATGCAACCCTAATCGGTTAATTAGCTATCCTACCAGAGTTGTTTTTGAATTAGATTAGAATTAAAATCTCTCGACACTTAATTCTTGTTCAGTAAGTTTTGAGTATCTCTACTCTAAAGTAGATATGCAACCAGAATTGATTTAGCCGGAATTCCGGAACCGGAATTACTAACTGCCGGATTCCGGAACCGGAACTTGTTTATAGTGCTGATGAATAATGATATTTTCGATGAATGAGGAGCCAGTATGTAAAGTGGCTGCACATTGCAGATGCGACATGAACGTGAAAGATCCGATCGACTGGTGGAAGAACGAGTCTCGATACCCGCTTTTGCGGAAAATTACCCGGGCATACTAATCGGCACCTCCTACCTCCGTAAGAAGTCAAAAGGTGTTCAGCTCATCCAGCAACGTCATCTCCGTTAAACGGAACAGACTGACTCCGGATTTTTCGGAAAAATTGGTTTTACTCCATGATAACATTCCACTTTTGAATCAATAATTCAAATGTTTGAAAGTTCGTTTTTTTTTATTGGAAATGATAGTAAAATTGAGCACCAAATTCCGGTATTTTCCCGTATTTTTTACCGGATTCCGGAATTCACTGTAAAATCAGCCGGAATTCCGGAATCCGGTGCATCTCTACTCTAAAGCACATTCCTGTTGAAAGCAACAATACAAGCTTCCTTATTTTGAACACAATTTCACTCTGACTCGACTAATCAAATATAATGGGAGAAAAATAAGATGGCTAAATATGTGAATTACATACAGATACCAGTGATTAAAAGCTGCAACATTTACAGAATACACTTAAGGTACCGCTTTTTGTAAAAACTGCATCTCAAACAAGAGGCCAAATTGAAACAAATAAACATATATTCATTTATTAGAACAGATATAAGATGAGGTATGCACCATTTTAAGGCCACATTTACAGAATGAAGTTGTACATTAGGTATCACGATTATCAATAACTGATATTTAACAAAGTGAAAATCGACATTTATTGAACAAAAACCTTATCAGTTCTGATAGGTTGATTTCCTGATCATAGAACTAAGCACGTTATTAAACAGTGAAAAATGATGAGAGCCAACGTTAGTTTAAGCTCGTAATTGTCAATTACAGTTCATCTTTTTCCGCAGCCGACGCCTTGAAAGATTCGATAACATTCGCTCTTCGGGTCACTTCAACTCGTTTCATACTCGACATGCTTGCGCCTAAAATCTTCTGCAGTCTCTCGGCTTCCAAGTGAACAAACTCATCGCCTTTCTCTTGAATTTTCTTCATGTAAGTGACGTACACTTTGGCCGATGCCTTTTCAGCATCGTCACTATACTTTTCCATTTGAGCTTTAGCTGTTTCCAGCAACTCGCTTCGTTTATCTTTGTTTGTAACGAATTCAGACGCAATTTCGTCCATCTTTTTCAAACATCCATCTTTGGCTAAATACAATCCGTTCTTAGTCAGAAACTTCTTGAGATTCTCCGGTTCGTCCGCTTCTTCGCTGCTGTCAGGGGCGTGGAAGATGATAGGCTCTGCTCTCCCTTTTTTGAAGAGGTAATACTGAGGCCACTGGTCTTTCTGTATGTGAAAGCGCTCTGCTAGCTCAACATTAGTTGGTTCCGGATCTGTAAAAAAATAAGATCGTATATCATAAACTTTTGTGTCATGAAAACATTGATAACAATTCCGAGCCAAACTAAATTCATGCTGCGCACTTAAATACAATAAGAAATTGTCTGTGAGGAAAAAATCAGTTTATCATGCTTAGGTTAACAGGCTAGTACAATTCAGTCAAACGTGGTGAGCCAAACTAATCGTGTAACCAATCACAACAAGTCACAGGTTACCTCTTACCTGATGACTCACCCCCGTACTCGGGATAATCCTCGTACTCCGATGGCGGAGGAACCTCAGAATTGACTACAAAAAGATATCACATTTAACGTTTAAATCCCAGATAGAACAACAATAAAGACCTGTACTCGGAAGATCGTTATGTGGATTATCGTCATAATCATTGTACTTGTGCTCGTCTTTTTCCGTCAGTTCAATTGGTTGAACTGCACAAACACACACAAAATACTACATTCAATCTTCATAACCGGAAAATTGCAATAGGCTCTTGTTTGCAATCTGATGCAAAAATTTCCAAACAAGGGCTGTTGCATGGCATGCAAAAATTCCCGCGAGGCGGCGGGGAGAACCTTCAAAAAAGGGCAAAAGTAATTTTCAGTCAACTGCAAACGAGTCATCGCCACTAAAAAATATCAATTTTCGTCCAAATATCCAGAGCCACATGCAAATACCCAAAAAACGCGGTTACATTTTGAATGCGGTAACATTCTGGAACAGCTTTGTTAAAAAAATTCAAAAACGCTATAGGTGTCGGCATATTGTCATATGAGCTTGGAGCCATATAATAATAATTAAAATATAAATGGCGAATTTGGCTTACTTTCAAGCCTGACATGACCCACAATGGCTCTGGTATCGCCGCCAAGCTCCTCGCTGATCTCAGACAGGATATAGTCAGGGATATCATCGCCTGAGAACTTTACCAGCACTGCATCAAACGCACTTAGCACCTGAAACAAAACTAAATGCATAAAAACCTCCACTCCTTGAGAAAATCCAAGATCCGCCCCTCGATTTGATTTCTGAAGATATATCTTTGAATATATTTTCGGCTCAATTTCGATTGTCAAAGCAAATATCATTTGTCAAATTTTCGAAAAACCTCTGATTCTATAATGCCGTATGTGGGCGTGTTCACTCTTTGTGCAGTGTAGGTCATGCGAGAAATAAAAATTTGAATCTCCAGCTCGTGTAAGGGGAATTTTAACCCGCTTTCATCCATATCTTACGCAAATACCATCTCTAAACTAAGATTTATTCAGCTTAAAGTTATATCTGCTAAGGGTATAATTTATTCGATTAAGCCTATCCGATTACAATTTTTCTGAAGCTAAGCTCAAGAGCGTATTTTCTGTTTCCTTGTTTTTCTCTGATGTTATCTGTCATTTTTATGACTGTTTTGTTTTCAGTTTAATCCTTGTGGTTTATGTTGGAAAATTTTCTGTTGGTTTATTGCTGCTATTGGGCCTTGAGAGTCTAAAACATGTAGAGTTTTTTTAATATTCTTTACATTTTCGTAATCTGAGGGCAATCGCAGCCTTACTTCGTTTTTTTTAAATTCCTGAGTAGTCGAAGATGTAAGAGCTTGATTTTGTTTTTATTTTTCCAACTACGAGCTGACATATTGATACCTTAGCATGGTGACCGAAGTTTTTTCTATGTTTGACGATGTTGTCAGATGACATTATAACTTTCCTAGTGCGTTGCCATCTTACGCATAACCATTTCTGCGTTATCTTCGATTTTTGATTATATCTAGGGCAGAATTACCAACACGTGCATGGCCATTGCTAGTTGGTCTCCGTAGTTGATTCCTTCTTTCGAAAGTAACTTTTTTATTTACAAAGAACTGATGGGTCTAATATACCATTGCGTATAATTAATTCTAAATTTCCTAACTATAGTTAATTTTTGTTAGGATATTTCGACTCGTCACATAGGTATCCAGACATTCAACGATTTATTTCCATTGCCTGATTGGTTTGTGAGCAATGGTTTGGGAGAATTAGGAGGAAATAGTAAATGCTGCTTCAGTGGTTGCACTACTGCTTCATGGTCAAAATATCCTCGGCATCGGTGGTTGGACGCAAGATTGCTTTTGTTTCCCTGAACTTTTCGAGCATCGCCTCTAGAATTTACAATTACTGCTTTTAAAGTAGGTAACGCGAGTGCTTTGTAGGAAAAATGAAGCTCGAGGGGTTTTATGGTTCTCCTCCATACAAGATCCAATTAACGAGTAACACGAAGTATAGTGGATAAATGTCGCAATCGGTACCCATCTGTGCCAGTCTGACAATTGTATGTCAGTATGTATTTTGAAAATCTGTTACATATCTCAGTGTCAGCTTTCAACTAGTCCAAATTTTTGAGGGTGCGTCAATGTCACGAGACTAACTTGTATTTCGAGCAAGTTAGTGCGTTCATGTTCTTAGTTTTGATATTACGTAGTTCCTAAATTAGACAAATCGTTTCGGTACATAGCTATGTACAAATAACATTTTCGTAAGTTCTCTTGCTACTGCGTCTGCTCTGGCACTCTCCGATTGAAACGATTGTAAAGAAGAGATTTGTTGAAATGGTGGTGTCTGGTCTTTGCTTGACACGTTTGTGAGCTGCGAGTATGTCAAACAAATTTCTATACTAATCACCCGAAATTCAGTGAACCTTGGTGAATGGAAACTTTTCTGAACAATTCTGTTGTTCTAGTCAGAATACCTCTTGGCGAGTGCCCACCTGTTGACCTGATGTGCCCCCTTATTGGCGATTTATGGATATGATAAATAACTTCTTTCCAAAGCCTTGGTAAGCAATATTGCTTGTGTTTTATCATTCTACTAACGGCATAAACGTTTCAGGAAAAAAACTTCAGTTTCCAACACGAGTGATTAAATTGTTTTGCATACTTTTTGAGCGACTGTCTGCTCACGTTAGATTTAGTATACTACCATAATGCATCCAGTTCGTGACGTTCTCGAAGTCTAGATCTTTGTTTTTATTCTATTCAGCCCAGTGACTCAATTCTCGGTGAATGTCTGCAAACCTTTTTATTTAATCGACTGTCTGCGCACGTTTGATTTAATATACTACAAAAACGCATCCAGTTCGTGACATTCTCGATGTTTGGGTCCTTCTTTTATTTTATTCAGCCCAGTGACTCATTTCTCATGTTGAACTTGTTATATAGGCCAGCAGAATCTGGGTGATACTATACGTTTCTGGTTTTGAGGCATGAGGAAATTTTTAAAAAGTTTAGTTTTTGTCAGGTGCGTCTGATGGAGCCCAAGTCTTGGCATTTTCTGATTTGAGATTTTTTCCGACGAGCTCGTCAAAAAACTTTTTTTTATTTTCTGAACCATCATAAGGGAAGCCTCTGCCTTCTTTTGCTATTGCCTGGATATTTTTTTCCTTAACAGTTAATTAACCTGTCATTTTAAGCAGGGCAAGAGTGTTCAATTTAAATCAGAGACAAGTAAACCGCTGCATAGTTTGCTTTTTCCGGGATGTGTGAGATGATAATATCAAAAGATAACACTCGGTCTAGAAAGTTCCACATTGACGGTGGTTGTTTCTGCATGGAAGAATTGTGTGAGACTTCTATTGTCTGCTCGAACTATGAATGACTTTACTGATACCCATATGAAGCGAGCAAAACGATCAAACACAAAGTACAGCGCTACAAATTCTTTTTATTATATTGAGATTTTCAACTGTGCTGTACTAGAAGAATCCAGCACCAAATGATACTGGTGCATACGTTTTCATCTCTCCGTCGTTTTCTAATTTTACGTATTCTTAAACCATTATCACAAACCCAGTTCCATGGTAGCTATGGTCACAGAGTATTACATTATGTAGTTAAGATGGGTTTGGGTAGTCTAAGCGTTAAATTTGCAACCTGAATTAGATCTTTTTATTTCTGGAATTGGAGATCTAACTGTTTTTCTAAGTAGCCTGTAGAATTATAGCAACTTCTCATCCTATATTAGGCATATAGATCTTAAAACTGAACAAACCTAATTAGTCTTTTCACTTGTTTTACCGTTTGAGGCATTTCGATTTTATATAGCACTGCAGATATCTTTGCTTTTTCGGGAGAGACATCATTGGCTTTTTATACGGTCTAAAAATTCCATAGTTTGAGTTATTTCACATTTCTCTTGAGAGAGTTTTGACCCTGATAGGAAAAAACATTCAAAAAGTTTTGTATCATTCATAAATTGGGTTCATAGATCGGCTGCTAGATATGAATCAAGATAGCGAGGAGGAATGAATTGAAACCAGTGTCTTTGTACTAGACATTTGTACGCGTAGGTGCAAGACCCGAAACTGAAGGCCAACGAAAGTAGAGACAGATAGTCTGCAATTTACACGCAAGGGTATGCCTATGAGCCGTCCAATTTGGTGACCAAACTCTTTCCTGCAGAGTGGTTCCATGCATCAGTCATATTGCAAAGTGGAAAGTTGCTGTGTCTATAAGCTGTTTTTATTGAGTGGTTGACTCGCTGAGGTCAAACAACCTCTGCAAATTTCCGGATGTTTTTCTATGCGCAAACAATAGACTACTATCTTTGGAATGCAAAATGATTGTTATTAGTCAAAAGTAGTGAATTACCGCAAATTCAAAATTAAGTTCAGTGAATTACCGCAAAAAAGTGAAATACCGCAACCTCTAAATTAAATTCAGTTAAACTTCTTCAGTGAATTTGCGTTGGTGCTCCTTGCGTTTAAGGAGATCGTTGATGTTCCGGTGTTAACTTGATTATAATCTTGATGTTCCGCTGTTAGCTCTATCTTGATGTCAGAGTACTTCATAGGTCACTCTTCTACTGGGGTTCTTTGACCTTCTGCCAAAAGGGAACTCTCCCAGAAGAACTCTCGCACTTAAAACTTCTTTAGAAAAATTAATGGATCTCTTTTTGGTTCAACTATCTCAAGTGCTTGGAGATTAATGATTTGATCTTATATCTCTGCTGAAAACTGAAGTAATCCAGGATTTTTCCATGCTTCAGGAGTTGGAAGCCAGAACTTCAAACTTAAGGGGTGGTTTTAATTGAGAAGCTTACTGCTTGATCGTTTTATAATCTATGAAACCGTTAGTTCCTAATTCAAAATTGTTAGTTTGCCTCATTTTTACCAGTGCGAGCATCTATTAGTAGTAGTAGTAGTAGTAGTAGTAGTAGTAAAATACTTAGAGACAGTTCTCAACGGTTCGCAGCCAGATTCAAGTTCATCAGTTTAGTTTTATCTTGTTTGTGATGTTATAGTTTCCACATCTGCATACCACTCTCCAAGTGCATTTGTTTTCCTCGGATTAGTGTCTAATAGAGAAGTGCCAGTAGATTATCTGTACGGTATCTTAGTTAATTTCGTTGCCAAAATTAGGGTAAGGTCGTTGATACGTAGTTGAAGAAAGTTACGATCGCCGAAAACTTAGTTTTCACAAACTTCCTCAAACTTGAGAAACAAAAAACTCCGAAACCAAAATCCGAAAAAGTTGCAACTTTAATGCATAAAAAGGTCTAACAGAAAATTTCTGAAACCTTTTTTTTCTAACAAAAAAATTAGCACAAACAAAAATTAGCTAAGTATGAACTATATTGACACTGAAAAAATGGAAAAAAAAAGTTACAAAAATTCAACACCCGACAAGAAAACCGACAAAAAACTAAGAGGAAACCAAAAGACAAAAAAAAATCAAATTATACCCAAAAACTTTTTCAGCTATTGAGCAAGAATCACTTGAACAGCTCTAAACCAGATGCTGAACTTTTGGACCTTTGATACTGCGAAGCGTAATGTTCCTTCCATTTAGCAAATGGAATTAAACTCGTTATCAGTTTCATTTAAATTTTACCTGGGTAATAAAATTTACCTTGTCAAAAGTTCGGTCATCTAATTCTAGAACACCTGTTGTGAACTCTTGGCGCGCAGAGGTGAAAGAACAGACAGCAAGAAAACAAATGGATATCAACAAAACTACACTCATTCTAACCTGAAACACAATTTTAATAGAACAAACACCTTAATTGCAAAAGGATAGCTAAAAATGCTGCAAATGTTTCTTTAACGCATTTTTTTAAAATTATATACAATAGGAAGGTGAAAAATGATCAGAGTTACCGAAGTTTCATCGCCAGTCCTTCATCATTTCACTAATTCGACCTATACAAAGCGATAATGTCTTTACCGAACGGATCAGCAGCAGGTCCGGATAAAACAGTTTTTCAAATTTTTAAAGATCTTGTTAGTAGTAGAAGGGCAAGTCAGGACTTAATTTTCTGAAATCGCTTACTAAGCTAGTTTTTTCGTAACCGAAGATAGTTTTTTCGTAACCGAATTCGACCTATACAAAGCGATAATGTCCTTTCCGAACGGATCAGCAGCAGGTCCAGATAAAATAATTCCTCAAATTTTAAAGATCTCGTTAGTAATTCGAATGGCAGTGCAGGACTTAATTTCCTGAAATTGCTTACTTAGCTGATAAACCTCATTGGAGATGGTAAAACACCCGAATCCCAAAGATCTTTCTTTTTAGGCGCAAAGCTATCGCCCTCATAAGATAAGCGGAGGGTTGAGACCGATGGTCATAGGGATCATGCCGATGAAACGTATCGCGTCCAAATGCGCTGGAAGCAAGGCCCTCTCCGAGCGACAAAGTTTTTTCGGAAAACCTACAGGTAGGATGCGGTACTAAATGAGGAGCAGAAATAGCTGCACCTTCGTGTAAAAACATAACTGCACTGTTCTTCAAAAACTAGACTTAAAGAATGCCTTTAATTCTCTAAACAAAGAAACTAATTGTTGTGATAAACTTATTAAATAGTTCGAGATTTGAGATGAGCATCGACCAGAATGTGAAAAATGCAATCTCCGCTGAATTCGAATTTTTAGCAGCGAGCCTTCCGGATCGGTGATTATTAAGAACGTTATTGGAACGATTGGCCAAACGGTGAGGACTGGAATATTCTGGTATTTTAAAATTTCAAAAATTCGAATTATGACGTCATATTTCTGAGAAACGTCAGAAACGGCCATTTTGGCTAAATCAAGAAAGAAAAACAGAACAACATTAGCTGCGCTAACAACAACTACGAAATCGAGATTGGAAAACGACAACGAGTTACAGAGTAACAGAGAACACTCCGAGTTGCAACTTTTGTGCCGCTACAATAGTTGCAAGGCCGTTGTGAACAACGGTGAAGGGTGAAAAACGGCCTTCCGGATTAAGAAGAAATCAGGATTAACAAGCTTGATCCAGCGGATTTGTCAATCCGGAGGGGTAAAGGAACTGAAACTTTTATCCTGTTACATAAACTTTTAGCTTCTTGTCATCTCCTGACTTGAATTTAATTCACATCTAGATTCATTTTGATAAGGATGAGAAGCTAGGAGTTGGGGGAAAGGGTTGATCCATCTTCGATGGAGATGATGATTTTTATCTACTTAACAAAAACAATAGTAATATAATAAGTAGTAATAGCCCTGTTTTTAGGAGTGACCTCGTGGTCTGGGGATACTGAGACCCAGCCATGAGCTCACTATTTCTGCATGTAATCTAGTTAATTTAAGTGTTTTGACCGAAGCCGAAAGCAGTAACGTTTTTGTCGACCCGATGTTAGAAAGACCACCGAAAAGTACTGGCTTGGTAGAGACGGTGAAAAGCATGCAAAGCTCTGTTTAGACGTTAGCCAGTCGTCTTAAGACTTAGTTTTGTCTTCCGTCGATATGTATCTTCCGGGAGAATTTTACATAGATGTTTTTATGGCGCTCCTGGGTGTTATTTTTTTTAACATCATGACCGGCAGAACCGTTAACGAGCACTCCGCGCCGAGCGGATGCTCACATTAACGCCCTTAATAGGCCTAAACCGCCGGGGCGGAAGGGTAGTTTTGAACGCGGAAGCCTTCCGGATTACCGTGAATAGCTTTTTAACTTAGTTAGGACCAAAAATTCACGAACCAGGAAGGGTGGGGGGATTCGCGGTCCCGTCATCTCCTGAATGGTTTGTGACCAAAAACACTTAAAGATATATATAAAACCAAACAAAAAGTAGTATAGTACCCAAGAAAAACAAAAAACATAAAAAAATAACCGAAAAAAAACCAAAAAGAGTAAAAAAGTAAAAAATCAGTAGAAATCATCCCCCCAGACAAGATGTGATCCGACCCTCCCGTTTGTTGTTGATAGATATATTGTTGTTACAGGCATTTATATCAGTCAGGATCGTTACGATCAGTTTTGTGGCCCGTTTGTGAGGCTTGTACTGTAGGGTTATTTGAGCATTTAAGCACGTTAATGATAAATTGCGCCCAATCCAGAAGGGTCAGATGATTTGCGCTCAATTCGGAGGGGTCTTGGGAGAAGACTGATCCGGCAAGCAGTACAAGGAGCAACAAGAAGGGGCTCAACGACAACAACAATCGACTGTTGGGTATCGTTAGCAAGTTTTGTGTCCCTTTTGGTACAAAAATTAAGATAGTAATCTGTGGGGGGCTCGACAGTGCTGCACTGTAGTGACCCTTCACCGAACTGCGAATATCCGAGTTAAGCACCTTAATTCGGATATTAGCCAAACCCGGAGGGGTATAGTATTACTAATATTATTAATTATATAGCCTATATTAATAGTCTTATATCGTTTTTCAGTCAAAAACAACGAAAACAGACCGGTTTTTAGGGTCAAAATAGCGATATTTTGATTCCCCCACAAGTCGCGATTTTTGAGATATCGATAATTTTTGAAACGGAAAAAAGCGCTAAAGTAGTGTGTTACATCGTAATTGCACTACCATAATAGATAGATCCGGTCAAATTTAGTTCGGAAGTGGTTGGAACTATTTTGGAACCAAAAAACCGAATTTTCGTGATTTTTGAGAAACCGAAACACTAAAAATTCAGTAAATTTTTTAAAATTTTTGAGTTAGAACAGTAAAAATAGTTGTTCGGACAACGTCCACTAGTGAATCTACAAGTTTTAAAACCCGCTACCCGAAAACCTTCCCGGTTGCAGAGAAATCGAACTTAACGTGTTTGATTTGGTGGATTCATCAATCCGGAGGGGTACAGGTAGCATAGTTTTTTGCAAATTTTTTCAACTAAAGCGTTTTAGATCGGGTCTTTTGCATTGAACTAGAAGAGTATAGGCCTTCTGAGCTCGGATCAATAATTTTTAGGTCGAAAGGACCTGATTTGCGGAAAAAGTTAGGCGGAACCTATAAGAGAGAAAAATTTTTCGAGTTTAGAAAAAAGACGTTTTGGTTAATAACTTTGGAACTACTGGGCATATCGAGTTGATCTTGGTACCAATAGCTCAGAAATTAGCTTAGCTTACTGATAGGGACAAAAGTTTTTCGGAGAAGTAAGCGTGAAAATTTTTTGAGATTGTTTTTAGCAAATTCCTCAATTTGGAAGGGTACACCCTTCACGTTTTACAAAAAATTTTTTAGAAAAGCCCTTATACCCCTAACAAGAGGTAATAGCGGTTGAATAAAGTAACTTTAGGCTGTTCTAGACGAAAAGGGGAGGCTAAAGGCACAGCAAAAGCTTAAGAGAGCCGAAGTTAGGCGAGCGATAAGACCCTTCACCGTTAGTGTGAATTGTCAAATAAGAGGCATAACTTCAATCCGGAAGGGTCTAGGAAAGTAGTGCATGCCCTTCCTAGTTAATTGAAAGAGCAAAATTGCATCGGAGAACGTATCCGGAGGGGTCAAAATTTTTTTTTTTTTTTCAAGTTAGGAGGGTTCCGAATCCGGAGGGGTCTTATAGTTGCTAATTCGGAGGGGTCCAAATCCGGAGGGGTCTTATATTAACTAACTCAGAGGGGTCCCAATCAGGAGGGGTCTAGATTCTGCCAGTCCGGAAGGGTCCTATTTGCGCCAATCCGGAGGGGTATTATTTTATTAAAGGACTTAGGTAGACGAAAGAAAGACTAAAAAGTGAGAGGTATTAGGTTATTAGCACACAGGCTAGCTATCAGTGACTGCACTGGTAACTTGCCTTTCAATAAGAACCAGACCAAAACAAAACAGGTGCGAACTCGGATATTCGCGACACTAAGTCTAAATTAAAAAGAGCGTGATTCATTGGTGTAGATTGTAACATAATACGTTTTTGGGAAAAGTGACTGCCCTGAGGATTTTAGTAGGTCTAGCTCGGGCAGTCCGAAGGCAGATAGGTAACACAGTACTCGGTGGGTGCAATAGACGCCCACTTGAGAAAATTACTGCCTTCAAAGTTTTGTCTGTTTGGTGCAGCACCGAGCAGGGAAAGCTTTTTCTTTAAAAGACAGGTTCGACTATTGTACTGCGACCGACTAAGAGTACATTACACATACGTTTTTTTTATAGAAGTATTCATAGTGTGACATTAAATATATATATTTTATTTTTTGATTTTAAATCAACATAAACTGTGCTTGATTGGGTAGTGAGTACACTATCTTTTAAATTGACTGATAACATCATATTGTGCTAGTTTTCAAATCTTACCACCGATAATCGGTTAGTGTGAATAAATTTTATACAAACTGTACCCTGATAACATACAGGGATTCGTGGTCACTATTTAAAAGAATCTTGTGAAAATTATTGTGTTGTGTCATTATTATTGTTAATAAAACTATAAGGTCTCTAGCAATCAGGTTAAGTATAGGCATTAAAAAGTGACAAATAGAGAATGAGTCTAGAAAAGTCAAGGATACCAAAACGAGGTAATAGCTCTAGGAAATTCATACCTGAAAAGCAAAGAAAAACGATGACCGATCCTTTTGTGGATTGGATCAAGCGATCCCGGTCCGATAAAGGGGAGACGGTTTCAGGCAAATGGTTGAAACGAGAAGTCAGAAGACCTCAGAAGAGCGGAAAGAACTGTTAGAAGTGGAGGTCAATACGGACCAAACCATGAACGACAACCAGGAAGTAAATGGACTGGAAGGGAGAGGCAGAAGGCTGGCGAGTGAATCTACTCCGGTAGAACAAGGCCATGATTTTG